TGCAAGTCCGTATCAGGAGGCTGATGGGTCTTCGAGAGAAGGCTGATGAGTCTATGCCGGAAGGCTGAAGGATCCAAGGTAGAAGCCGAAGACTCTGCACTAGAAGCCAGGAGACGACATCCAAGCTGAAGGTGAAGGCTGGAGCTCCTCCAAAGAATGGAAGCCCCTCTGTCCTCCCTCATTTCCCTTTTATATCATCTAGGTGATGAACTACCCTAGAGTGGGTCCTCTGCACCCTAGGGTGTAGAATTGCTGAGCCAATTTAGTTAAGCTTCTAAACTTCTCCAGTTGACACAATGAATTAACCACTACATCCTGCATTTGGGAAGCTGAGGCAGGAGGATTGCTGTGAGTTTGATGCCATACTTGCTTAAGTATATAGCAAGACCATGTCTCAAAAAAAAAAAAAAAAAAGGAGCTGTGGCCTGGCTACCATCTATCTTTCTGGAGTCTCCATTTTTTTTTGAGACAGGGTCTCACTATGTAGCACATGCTGGCCTCCAATTCATGTTGATCCTTCTGTCTCAGCCTCCCAAGTGCTGGCATTACAGATGTACACCACCATATCCAGTGAGGTTTCTTTATTTTCTGAATGGCCTCATCTAGACTGAGCCACGGATAGCTCCTTATAGTCATTTTTCTCTCTGGCTAGGAGCCTTTGTCTCTGCTGCACTCTAAGCCTGGAACCCCTTTTCCTTATAAGCTTATTGGTTCCTGATCTGTTCCACTCAGCAAAGGACTATGGAAGTCTGAGGAGTCATTGGATCTTACACTGTCATTTCCTCAGTGAAAACCTCCGGGGAGCACACCCCTTCCCATGTTTAGTCAAATCCCACCCCTACCCCCTACCCCCATGCTGGAGATTGAAGCCAGATCCTTGCACACACTAGGCAAGCACTTTAACATCCTTGATCAAGTCTCTCTTCCAGGTTTTGCAACGTGTTCTGTCCTTCCAAATGCTTACTGAAGATGTGCTTTTGCTTTGAGCTGTCTGACCATTTGATATATATCTGTCTCCTCAAGAGACTGTGAGCACACTGGGAATAAAACATATCTACGTTCACTCTGTGTGTGTCACCCACCAGGGCCAGTCTCTGTGTCCCCACAAGCAAGTGCTTGATGAATGTCTGTTTTCCTTTGAGACAGAGTCTCACTATGTAGTTCAGGCTGGCCTTGAACTCGCTATGTAGCCCAGGATGGTATCAAACTTGTAGCACTCTTTTTGCCTTAGTCGCCTGGGATTACAGGGATTATACACCTAGTCTAGATACTACTCTTGAGCATGTCAGGATAATTACAGGAGGAGTTACACTCATGGTAGTCAAGCAATATTTATCAGGTACTGTACTAAGTGTTAGAGATACTGAAATGCACAAGGAAGTCGTCGCCTTTTTTCTAACATAGTTTAAAGTCTAGTGATGGTGGGGAGGTAAGACATTAAATAATTAGAACAAAATAGACCTGGAAAATAGTGTTACATAAATTACGGGCCTTTTTTTTTTTCCAGTAATGGAGATCAAACCCAGAGCCTTGCAAAGGCTGGCAGACGGCCTACCACTGAGCTACATGCCCAGCCCAAGGCCATTGTTTACTGGACCAAACAAAAACAGATCAGACACACAGTCAAAATGGATTCTCTCACATTAAAGTTCTAAGTCACTAATCTGGAACTAGTTTTCTGATCTTCAAGTAATCTGAATTAGAGCGATAACAACCAACTTTCCCAAACGGGCTAGTTTCAACTGGCATAATGAAGTTGCTTTAATCTTCACAAAGTAACCTGATATTAACCTCATATTAAACAAATAAGTTTTTTTTTTATTCAGTCTCTGTCTTCCAAGGAAAGTAACTTTAAAATGACCAGTCTGCTTTTGTTTCTGCTGTCTCAGCCCTTTCCTGTTCGCTAAAATTATATGCCTCTCCTGTTTGCCTCAATGGAACACCTGTATTTATAGCATGAAGTGTTGCCAGATTTAGAATGGATAATAAAGCCAAGGAAGATCTTTGAATTGTTATTTTGCCCTCTGACAATAATGGAGACAGGAGTGCCTACCTTGAAAGGATGCTGTGAAACTATGTATGTTTGCTGACACCTATAATATAACATTCTGGAAAGGGGAGACAGGAGGATCAAAATTTCCAGCCCAGTCTGGCCAATTTACGGAGACCATGTCCCAAAATAAAAAATAAAGTTAAAAAAAGGGCTGAAGATAGTGTGAAGGCCCTGGGTTCAGTCCTCAGCAACATAACACACATACACACACACACACACACACACACTCACACAGGATATCGTAATGATTAAATGAAATAATCAGCTCACGTGTTGATTGTGGGGCCTGGCACAGAATAAGCCCTCTAAAAAGGGTAACAATTCTTGCTGTTGTTAGAGAAGTTAAAATGCAAGATGTAGTTGGGCATGGTGGCACACCTCTGTAATCCCAGCACTAGGGAGGCTGAGGCAGGAGGATCTTTTCGAGTTCGAGGCCAGCCGGGGCTACAAAGTGAGCTCAAGGCCACCCTGAACTGAATAGGGAGACCCTGTCTCAAAAAAACAAAACAAAACAAACAAACAAACAAAAAAGCAAGATGTTCTTGGTATGAAGAGTAAAGGGCTTCTTCCAGGCTAGAGTAGCAAGGTGGCCTTAAGAAATGATACAGATCTGGAGAACAGTTCCACAAGAGGGAAAACGGTGGAGAAACCGCAACTCAGCAACAGCTCAGTTTCACCACTCGGCAGCCTATGAAGACCTTGACATCCGTCCTCTGATTCGATCTTTAAAGCCACCTAATTAGACAGGAGTGTAAAATTAACACCTCCACTGTCATAGGAGGAAAGTGACGCACAGAGGGGGGAAGACCCCCTCGAAGTAACACAACAAGGTCTGGAAGCTGCTCTTCTGGCCTGCAACACCAGTATGTGGGGAAAGTCAGCAAACACTGCGGTGAGTTGGTTAAAGTCCGGTTACAAAAGTAATAAAGTCCTCGGGTTTACGATTTACTTCTAGGGGTGAGTCAGGGAGGTTTCCTGGGAGAGTTGGCGTTGGAATAGGTTTCTTTTCCAATCGGCGTCAAGACCCCATCCTACCTTTCTCTCGCAGCGGACAGAGGAGTTCGCTGAAGTAGCAGCTGCGCGGCGAAGCCCCAGGCGAAGGTCGCCGGGAGAGAAAGCTCGGTCAGGATCCCCGGGCCAAAATCCCCACCCGGCCAGCGCTCCGGTTTCCATAGCAGTGGTTTCTCGTCCGGGAGAGAAAGAGGCTGTACTGGATCTTAGGAGAAAACGAAGCTTCTGAGCCCCGGCGCAGTAACGCTGCGGTCACGAGGTTACCCACCCAACGATCAAGTCGGCTGCCGCTGCTGACTGTCGAGAAAGGTTAGGCTTAGCGCTCCGTAGACTGCTCCAGCCCGCCCATCCCGTCTCCATGGCGACGACGCGCACGGTCAAAGCATGGGGGCCCCAGAGGGACAATACAGCAGAGTCCGCAGCCTCCGGGCTTCGCGCGCGCGCCCTTTCTCCAGGCCCCACCCTGCCTGTGTCTCCCGAGTCACCCGCCGCGCGCAGCCCCAGGTTACCTCCGCGATCCTCGCGGCGTCCTCCTGCTCCCACTCATCGTGCTGCCCAAGCTGGCTCTGGTTCCCAAGCAGTCCTGTAGCGTGGAGGACCCGACCACACAGCCATGTAGGCCTTCGGTCAAATGGGACCTAGACTCGTCCACGGATTATGAGATCCCAGTCCCGAGTTTCGCCGCCGCAGGCAGCTCAGACTTCCGGCGCGACAAGCTCGAGCGCCGGCAGGAAGTCAGTGCGGGGGGCGGCCCGCAGGTCATCTTCATGCCGCCGCGGACCGCGTATCACCCGGTGCTCTTCAGGTGCGAACCGGCTTCCAGAGCGATCGTCAGACCGCGGCACCTCTGCGGGAGCCCGGACTCGCGCCAGGCCCGCGATCCCTCGGCCCATCGCGCCCCTAGTCCCGGAGCCCAACCCCAGTCTCCCAGGGAGTCTGAGGACTCTGGCCCCAGCTCCTTCCCATTCCAGCTTTGGTCCTCAGGGCGGACTTCCGGAAGAAGCCCGGAATTCCCATCTCCGTCCCGCATTTCCGTCCATCCGTCCCGGCTTGATGTCGCGTGGTCGCGGTGCTCTGCGAGAGGAGCCCAACCCGTCCAACACCCTTGTTCTTAGCCTGCTCGTTTCTCAGTGGCTCAGGAAAAGACGTCAAACCCTTCTGCCTCCCTCTTGTCCTCACAAACCATGTATATATTTTGTTTATCGCTGTCTGTCTTAGTTACTTTCTTCCTTGCTGACACACAGTATCTGACACCACAATTTAAAGGAGGAAAGGTTTATTTTGGCTCACAATTTGTAGAGGTTTCAGTCTATAGTCAGCTGGCTCCAAGGCAGGGCAGCGTGGCAGAGGGGAAACAGTTCATGATACGGGAACAAGCAGAGAGGAATCAAGAGAGAACAGATACATACCCTTCAGGCCACGCCCACAGTGACCCTCCTCCTCCCATCAGGTTTCACCTCCAACGTCACTCCCAGCTGTAAACCCACCTGTGGGTTAATCCAGCGATGCGCATCACACTCGTGATTCAGTCACCTCCCAGAAGCCCCATATAGGAGCAGATGAGGCTTTGGGGGGACATGTGGATATAATCCATGATGATACCAGGCCCCCTGTTATCCACCCTATCACCACCCCTTCCCTCTTGTTCCCTTCTTCTTGTCTCACAATAGACTCCTTTCTACTTTATTGTCATTTTTTTTAGATCTCACAAATTAGGAAGGACATGTGATACTTGTTTTTATTTTTTCTTTATGGGTTTTTTTTGTCTTTTGGAGACAGGGTCTCCCTATGCAGTTCAGGCTGAACTTGAGCTCACTTTGTAGCCCAGGCTGGCCTTGAACTCACAGTGATCCTCCTGCCTCAGCCTCCTGAGTGCTGGGATTACAGGTGTGTGCCACTGTACCTGGCAATACTGGCTTTCTGACAAGCACTGTGCCACAACATGATATTCTCCAGATCTAGTCATTTTCTTGCAAATGACAGAATGTCATTCTTCCTTATGGCTGAATAGTACTTCACTGTGTATATATAACTTTATCCATTCATCTGTTGATGGACATCTAGGTTGGTTCCATGTCTTGGTTATTGTGAATTGTATTGCAGTTAACCTAGGTATACAGGTATCATGATAATATGCTGACTTTAACTACTTTGGGTATATACCAAGGAAGAATATTGCTGTATCAAATGGTAGCTCTAGTTTTAGTTTTTTTGAGGAACCTCCATACTGATTTCCATAGTGACTGTACTAATTTACATTCTCACCAGCAATGTAGTGTAGACAGGTTTCTTTCTCCCTCACATGCACACTAGCATTTATTGTTTCTTTGTATTCCAGAGTTAGCCATTCTGACTAGGATAAGGTAGAATTTCAATGTAATTTTAATTTACATTTCCCTAATGGCTAAAGATGTTGGACTTTTTTTCATATACTTATTGGCCATTTGTACTTCTATTGAATAATATCTGTTCAATTCATTTGTCCACTTATTGATTGGGCTATTTGATATTTTGGTGTTAAATTCATTAAGTTCACTATATATTCTAGATATGTACTATCCTCTATTGGAAGAGTAACTGGCAACAGTTTTCACCATGCACAAGGCCCTGAGTTTGATTTCTAATACTGAAGGCATGCACCACCATGTCCAGCTTTATGCCTTTTAAGAAGGAAAGAAAGATACAATCAAACCTGGGGAGGCCTCAACCCCTCCCCCCGGCACCTCTCCCCCATCAGGCACCTGACCCACCAGCCATCTCTAACCTGTATAACCTTTCTCCCTCCATTCCAGCTTAATGAATTGCAGTGAAGCAGCTGTGAAAAAAGTCTTACCCAAGAGTCATTTATCTCAGGTGATTATGCGTGACAACCTCCACGCCCAACGAACCTATGAGTTGCAGGTACAGTAGCCCTAAGCTTTTGCATTTGCATTAGAGGGTGGTAGTGGATTGATCCAAATTTGTTTCACATTCCCCATGTCTTGGGGCAGGGGGAAGATCCTACCTCCTGTCCTACATGTGATATGGAACCATCAAAGTGTCTAAGGCAGGTCATATTTTTACAGAGCAGGCAACTGATACTTGTTACTGATTTGACCAAGGTGTTCCTGGGCTGAAGGAGTCAGGGAGAAAGATTCCGATCTCTTGGCTTTGGTAGCATTTCTTCTTAAAGCACATGATCTTTCTAGGTAATCCATTAATGGATTCTTGCTATCTCCCTTGCACTTTCAGATCCTAGAGCTTGAATTAGCATCAACACTATCTGCTCAATTTTTTCTTCCTTTGGGGGTTTCCTATTTTCCTCATGAAAACTGAGGCTTTTCCATTTTTTGCTTATGGACAAGTAGGACTTGGCCTCCCTTCTCAAAAGCCCAAGTGTTGTCACCCCACTGTTCCCCGTAGAGCCTGACCCATATAACGTATTTAGGGACCGCTCCAAACAGGCAACATTAGGTACTAGCAAGAGTCATGTGACTCTTAACATACTCGTTTCTTCAAGCAGAGCAGGCACTGCAGAGTTGAGCTACTGTCCCCTTCTTAGCTGTTGAGCTTGCCTGCATGTCCGAGGGTGCACCAGATGGGCCCATGGGATTCTGACTTAGAAGAGTGGGAAATCCTTAAAAGATGCTGTTAGTGCCTCTTTAAGGGTGATAAAAACTAAGAGCTGGAGCTGGGAGTATATAGCTCATGGCAGAGCACTTGCCTAACATGTGCAAGCCCTAGGTTCTATCCCTACCCTTGCAACAGCAAAAAACCAAAAAGCCAGATTCTATATCAGATGCCCTAAACCTCCCCATTCTTCAAAACTCAAACACAATTTATATGTCAGCCCTTGCATGTAGCTTCTTGTTTTCAGTATTAGAAATCAAACTCAGGGCCTTGTGCATGCAAGACAAGTACTCTACCACTGAGCAACATCCTCAGCTCAAGGGAGCTTTTCTTCATATCTGCCCTCTTTGAAATATGCTTCTTTTAGGGGGTATCACTTTTTGCCTGGTTTAGACATATCTGAGCCTATGTCTCCCTTGCTACACAGTAGTTATTGGAAATAATGTGGCTGATTTTTCTGAGCAACCCTTCCCTTAGCTAGTGCACTAAAATAACTGAATGAAGGAGATATGGGCTGTGCCTTTACAGGCCCGTTCCCTGGTGGGGACAGGACAGAAGTTATACAGTAGAAGAAATGGATGGAATTCATTGTGATGTAAGGGATGTCACAGACCATATGTAGAAAACACTAAGTAAGCCGGGCGTGGTGGCGCACGCCTGTAATCCCAGCACTCGGGAGGCTGAGACGGAGGATCGTTGCGAGTTCGAGGCCAGCCTGGGCTACAAAGTGAGCTCAAGGCCAGCCTGAACTGCATAGTGAGACCCTGCCTCAAAAAGATAAAAAACCAAAAAACAACAAACAAACAAAACAAACACTAAGTGGTTGACAAGGACAGAATAATAGGAGTTATGGAAGGAGTAATAAACAAGATGCACACTCCCACCCCCCAGCCTCCTATTGCTTTCTGATCGGTCTTCCAATAAAAATATGATTAAAGTCAAAACCAGAACCCTCAGCTGCAGGTTGCCAGAACGTACCACAAGGGTTTGCCAGCTTAATACCCACTTTCTACAAATTAAGAAACTGAGGCTCCTTCTGAATCATAGTACTGATTTTAGGGAATGAATATTTGGTCCAGCAAGCACATTTTTCACCTTAGGTGTTTCTTGTACTGTGAAGTGGCTTCATAACCCTAACCTTATCTCTGTTGCTTTTCTTTTCTTTTTTTTTTTTTTTAAAGGAGAAAGCGTTGGAGAAGGCCAGGAAAAAGACAAGCCAATGGTATGAACATATGAAAAAAAAGTTTATCACGGACCAGCTGAGAAAACTGGGGCACTGGAGACAGGAATCCATGAAAATCCAGCCATACTTGGATAGCTTGAGGGCATATGAAATCCAGTTGAAACTGCAGTCTTTCAAGAACAAGTAGCCACCCTAGTCATGCAGAATGATCAATTAGACCTGGAGAGAAGTAGAAATAAGCAGATTACACCATCATAGACCAATAAAGCAGTACCACAGAGAGCAGGAACACAACCCTCAGCAGTTACAATGTTCTTTATCTACCCTTCTCCTATATTTCTGTGAAAGAGGTTCTGATAGTCCCTTCGATGCTTGACTGGAAGAGATTGAGCCCAGCCAGCCGCTGTAATCAATGCAAATTGACCTGTCTGCCCTTGTTCCTCTTTTCCTCCCCGCCCCTCCCCTCCCCTCTCCCTCCGTTCCTTTCCTTTCCTTTCTCTTTCCTCCATTCCCCTCCTCTCCTCTCCCCTTCCCTTCCTTTTCCTTCTTCCTTCCTTCCTCCTTCCTTCCTTCGTTCCTTCGTTCTTCCCTTCCTTCCTTCCTTCCTTCCTTCCTTCCTTCCTTCCTTCCTAAATAAAGGAAGGTAACTTTATTTTATTTAGACAGGGTTTCTGTATATAGTTTAGTCTGGCCTTTAACTCACCATGTAGGGTACAGGTTGGCCTCAAACGCATGGTGATCCTCCTGCCTCGGCCTCCCAAGTGCTGAGACTACAGAAGGACATGTGTCATCACACCTAACGGAGAAAGGTAATTTTATTAGCCCCATTTTAAGGGTGAGAAACAGGCTCACAGAGTTGGGAAGTTAGTAACAAAGACACACCCAAGTCCATCTCATGCTGAAGCCCATCTCCAATCCCACATGTTAGGACTCCCTATCTTTGTCATTACAGGTGAGAGTGGAGGACCTGGCACCTGGATCACAGGTCAAATCCTGGGTTTGGTCTCAGCTCCGTGATTTCACAGGTGGTACTATGGGGGCCGCAGTTTTAATCTCAACTGCATGAGGTCAACTGTTTAGTAGCTGTTTAGCTCAAATCCAAGTGTCCCTTCTACCAGGTGACTGAAGAACTTGCCACCCAGGATGGGATGGATAGGCTGTTAAAGTTAGGCTAGGTTAGGGAGAAGTAGACGAGGGAGATGCTCACCCAAGAAATGGAGGAGCATAGGATTACTGCGCTGTAGCTGTTAAAAGATGTTCTCACCGTCACTATCCGTAAATTTTTGCTGAATATCTCTTGCATCAGAAGCTCTAGGATGATGACAGGGGATAGGTAAATGGTACTTTCTCCTAAAGAGATCAAGAATGTTTGAGTGCACCTTTATTTCCTGGTGGAAATAGATTTAGTTCACCTCACCACTTTGGAGTACTTAAAAAAAAGCTTTTTGATTGAAAAAACTTGCCTGGTGCGCAGTAGACATCATTCTTTCCCTTTCTAGATTTCTCCATGATCTGGGAAGAAGAGGACAGAAACTTCTATTTACTGAGCGCCTATGGCATGCAAAGCATTATCTGTCTCACTTCAATCCTCCTAACACTTTTTAGGCATCATAGCATTTTGTCCATAAGAAAACCAAGGAACAGAGAGGTTAATCTGCTTATTTGAACCAGGCTGAAGATGCACAGGGTAATCTCCTTCCATGCCAGCACTTCCCCTAGTACTTCTGAGCTTCATTGTGAGCACAGAGCTTAATTTCAGCTGTAGTTGGCCTAAGGAACTGCCCTATGCGGGGTGGCCATATTTGAAGTTTCCTAGAAATGGCCTCTGGCCTTAAATTTCTTCCCATAGCAACAGCTGTTGAGCATAGCAGTAAATAACAAGGTGGAAGGAAGCCTGGGGTAAGGATCTACTGTTTTCCTCTTGTGGTTGGTCCTAGTTCCAAGCTATAGGTGGGCAGTGGGCTCAGAACTCTGGCTCAGTGGATCTAGAGCAGCCTGCCACTGGGGCTTGGCAGTTGGAATTAGAGGAGCAAGTTATCAGAGAGCAGGGGGAGGCAGGTAGCCACTCCAATTGCTGCTAAAAGTGATCTCAGTGTTCTTTGCATTTCTGCCTTATCCATCCATCCATCCATCCATGCATCCATCCATCCATTCAGCCACCCACTTACCTATTTATCTATCCATGTGGTCCCTCAATAGGCAATCAGAACACAAAGGTGGAGGAAGTGGTTTTCTGGCTTGCTGTGACTCCTTTGGTTTTTCCTGATTGGTGTGGACAAGAGGGGTGACCTGCAGCATGGGAGTGCCTCTGATCTGGTTCACTTTGATCTGGGGCAAGTCACCTTTCCACTCTGAGAATGTAGGAATAGGCACAGAACTGTCTTGTGAAGAGCCTCTCCCATTTTATTTTATTTTATTTATTTATTTTTTGTCTTTTTGAGATAGGGTCTCGCTATGCAGTTCAGGTTGACCTTGAGCTCACTTTGTAGCCCAGGCTGGCATCAAACTCACGAGGATCCTCCTGCCTCAGCCTCCCAAGTGCTGGGATTACAAGCATGCACCACCACACCTGGCTATGCCTCTCCCATTCTATAGGTGGGTAACTGAGACCAGAAGTGGGAAACTGACTTCCCAGAGTCATGTAAGGAACTGGCTTTTGTTTTGTTTTGTGTTTTGTGTTTTGTTTTTTGGGTACTGGGGATCAAACTCAGGACCTTGTGCTTGCTAGGCAGGCGCTTGTGCCCTTGAGCTGTATCCCCAGCCCCTCATGTAAGGAATTGGGTGGACTGGGGACCATTTCCAGGATGCTGCCACTAACATTGCAATACTAGGGACTGAACCCAAGGCCTTCACACTGAGCTACTACCTCCCCAGCCCCACTAAGTGCCCTGGCTGCCCAACCTAGGCTCAAACTTGGGATGCTCCTGCCTCAACTTGTCAGAGTGCTGTTTAAAGGCGTGAGCCACCACACCTGGTGATGCCACTCATTTGTAAATGAACAGAAATCCTGACTCTTGTCTTCTCCAAGTATTGTGGGAATGACCCCTCAAGATAAGCGATGGGAAGTGCTTTGAGATGACAATCATGGCGTCTTTGCTGGTGAACCAGGATGGATTTCCACAGTGACCAGAAGGGGGCAGCATATGCTTGCACTATGAGGTGAGCTAGGCTCCGCTGGAGGAACTAAATTGTGCGTGCTGGGGTCTGGGAAGGAGGCCATGTCATTTAATTCTCTAGGACCCAAAGCAGGAACAGTAGGCAGGGACACATCCTGACCCAGTCCCTTGTTGAGTTACAAAGTGTTACTTGGCTGTAGTCCAGAGTGTAGTCCAGCTGCTGACTTTGAAAGCAGTGCTACAGGGCTGTGGGGACAGAACCAGGGCAGGCCTAGGACTGGGGCCTTCTGCCTCCCCTAGTGACCTTTCTGGTCTTCATTTCTCTCACCTGCAACTCAGGGGCCCGGAGGCTGGTGGGTGGTCCTTGCTTCTTTCCATTACTCAGGCCCTGAGATGTGGTCCGGAGCTTTGCACACATAATTCTCATAAATATCTACTGAGTAGGAGGCAACAGATCCTGCTCTGAGCAAAGCCAAAATACCCAGGCTCACACAACATAATCTGGGTGACGTTTACATCACTACTGCATTTATCACTTTACAAAATGATTCCCAGTGGAATTCTTTTAACTAGTGTGCTCACCTTGGAGCATTTTCAAAGTCACTGTCATTCAAATCCACATCCCCACTGGGTCCAGTTAGGTCTCTTAGCTGCTGGAATTAACCCTGTGCAGCAGCTTGTATAGAAGCTCTTCCAACTAGCGAATCAATGCGCACCTTGTACCTCAACCTGTACGATTACTGAGTTACTTGTGTATACCTGGTACCCCTCCCCATTTAAGGGATATTTATTGAGCACCTACTTACTAATGTGCCCGTCACTACTACATACCCTGGGGATATGACAGCACTTTGTGGAATCATACTGTGTGTGTGTGTGCATGTGCGTGTGTGTGTGTGTGGACACACTGGACAAAGTAAGTAAATAGGGACTCCTAAAGTAGAAATAACAAAAATACCAGTGGATGAGGGGAGAAACAAAATATGGCCTATCCATACAATGGAATAGTAGGCAACAAAATGGAATGAAGCACTGATACATGCTACAATACAGATGGACCTTGAAAATTTATGCTAAGTGAAAAAAAGTTAATCACAAAAGACCACATAGTGTATGATTCCATTTATATGAAATGTCTAGAGTAGGCAAATATATAGCAAGAAGTTGAGTAGTGGTAACCTAGGACCGGGAGTGGGGATGGCCCTTGATAGCTAAGGGCTACAGAGATTCTTTGGGGAAAGATAAAATAACATTGTCCATGCTCATGGTTGTGCAACCAACCCCATGAATGTACTAAAAACCACTAAAATGTATATACTTTAAGGGGTGGATTGTGTGATATGTGAATTATATTCCCGTAAAGGTGTTATATACATACTTACAATAGGTGAGGGGGCATGAGGCTCAGAGAGGGAGCCATGTGACTTCAGAAAGCTGCGAATGGAAGATGACGTTTGAACAAAGACAAGAAGGTAAGGGAGAGGCTGTGACCGAAGGTCACTTAGCCAGCTGGTCTAAGTCAGATGCATTAAAGATAGTAGGCCTCCTAGATCATGCAAGGGCAAGACCGAATGATCACCTCAAATGCCATTATTTTTCATTGCTTCATAATCACATTATTCTGCACCCAAAATCTCCTTGCTGGTTTTGGTTGTCTGTGGCATGACTGGGCCTCAGCTTTGTTCGATGGTACAACCGTGACACCCAGTGGTATCTCCTCATAAATACCCTGCAGAGTAGATGCGGCTGGGCCTGTGCATCAGGCCAGGGAGACACCGAGGATACAACCATCCAGGCAGTGGGTCCTCTCCACCTCCTGAGTCCTCCCACCATTAGACCAGTGTGGAAGGGTACCACTCCCTGTTGTTCCCTCCCGAGTCCATCCAGATCAAAAGAACGTTCAATAACGCCGTATGAGGAGACACACGGACACACCAAGACTGTGGGAAAGACTAGATTTAATGTCGTCTAGGTACAGGCAGGCTGAAACTGGAGTAATAGCAATAAATATCTGGAGAGGAGGCTAAGTATATATAGGGTTTGGGGCTGGGGGTCGTAGTCTCAAGGAATCTAGGTGGAATGTTTGAGGTCAAAGCTACAAGGATGATCAGCACAGGTGTGCATAAGGGAGACGGCAGGTCCACTTCTATATTTCTTTATGGCCATTAGTTCTGTTTGCTGAGCGGCAGCCTGGATTCCTGCTGTTTGTAGAGGCACTGTATTTACTGGGAAGGTCTTTCTCGGGTCAGGCCTGACAAAGAACACTTCGGCTGTCTTTATTTTCATTATCTTCCCATTCTTTCCCTCCTCTTGAGTTCATCCTCTGGAATGTGCACGGGACCTTTTCCTGCTGGTTCTCACCTCTGGCTTCCCATCAGGATCACACGGAAGGGAAAAGAGGGGGGATTTACTCAGTACCAGGCCATCCTCTCCAGAGATGATATTTAATTAAAGCAAGGGCAGCAGTAAATGTTTTAATTCCCCAGATGATTTCTCCTGAAAGAACTGATGGAAACTGGGTTGCTAATGAAGCCAGCTGGTCTAAGTCAGATGCATTAAAGATAGCGCAATGGGCCTCCTAGATTAACCAATGAATCTAAGTGGTGCTACTTATTCTGGCAGATGCCAGAACATCTATTCCAAGCTTCTTTATTTCCCTCATTTGTTTCCTCTTCCTGAGAATCAAGAACAAGGATACATTGTACCGCTTTATAAATCTATTCAAGAACATCAAAATTCACAGCAAACTCCCACTTTGGACTTTCAAAGGTCTTCATAGAAGTGGTCAAATGAAATTGGTGGCAGAAGATAATGCATCCACCACATCCAATTTCTTTCCCGGCTGGCTACCATCATGTACTAGGAAAGGGTACTGAGGAGGAAGAATGGACCTGGAAAAGTGAGTGGCAGTACATTTTGGCGGGAGTGTGTGATTCACTTCCTGCACAGGGAGCAAAAAAGGAGAAAGCCGAAGTAGACAAGGTCCCACTATCCCCTTCTCTGGCAAGGCCCCAGGGTCAATAAAAGGAATCAGATAAAAACCCTGGCTGTTGGTGTCTGGTACCTTCTGGTCAAAGGCAGAGAGCCTTCTTTGGGCTTCTTAAGGAGAATGTGCTTGTGCAGCATTTGTCCCATTCAGTGCTTTGGCTACTGAAGCTGCTGCTCACAGCTCCGAGGGCGGTGTATCCTCATCTCTTGCTGGCACACTGAGGTTTTGTTTATCTGATGTGTGTGGGCTCTGTAGTCATTTGGTTCTGGGTTGGAATCTCAGCTCTGTCTTGTAGGAGAAAATTATTCTCCTCAGAGCTTTAGCTTTTTTTTTTCCTTTGGTACCAGGAATCAAACTCAGGATCTTGCACTTGCCAAGCAGGCACTTGTGCCACTGAGCTACATCCCCAGTCTGAGCTTCAGCATTTTTATCTGTTTGTTTTTTGGAGAGAGGGTCTCATTATACTGTTCAGGCTGGCCTTAAAGTCAATATGTAGCCCAAGCTGGCCTCAAACTTGCAGCAATCCTCCTGGCTCAGCCTCCCAAGTGCTGGGATTACAGACATGTGCCACCATATCTGGCCTAAATTGTTTATTTATTTATTTTTTGCTTTTTTTCCGGTACTGGGAATCGAACTCATGACCTCATGCTTGCCAGGCAGATGCTGTGCCGCTGAGCTAAATCCCCAGCCCCTGGCCTAAATTGTTGAGGGAATAATAACAAGGAAAAAAGTCTGAGCCTGGCAGGGTAGTACACACCTATAATCAATACTGTGAGAAGCTGAAGCAGGAGTATCACAAGTTTAAGCCCAGCCTGGGCAATTTAGCAATTTAGTGAGACCCTATCTCAAAACAAAACAAAAAAAGACCTAGAGATGTAGCTCAGTGCAAAGGTCCTTTTTCAATCCCCAGTAGCACTCCACCTCCTTAAAGTCTGTATATGTTCAGTATTGACATAATTTGTGTGTGGTATTGGCGATTGAACCCAGGGAGCACTGAGCTACACCTCTAGCCCTTTTTGAAAATTAAAAAAATTTTTGGATGGCACATTAAATTGCCCAGGGTGACCTGGCACTTGCAATCTTCCTGCCTCAGTTTTCTGGGTAGGTGGGATTAAAGGTTTGCACTATCATGCCTGGCCTGGTACGATTTTTAAAAGGATATTTTCAATCCGCAGTTGGTGGAATCCATGAACAAAGAACCCATAGAGGGCTGACTGTACCTGCCTTATGAGTTTGTTCTGAGAACCTGGGGAGCTAACGCTGAACAACAATCTGGCATGAAAACTGGCACCTTATGTAATGAATGGGAAGGGAGCTGGGCTGGCAAAGTAGCTGTTGTTCTGTACAGAGTTGACACATACATCTTAAGAGGCAGCCCAGGGCTTGGGAATGAGCCCCAGGATAAGAATAAAGAAATAGAAGTTCAGGGCTGGGGATTTAGCTCAGTGGCAAAAGCGCCTGCCTGGCAAGCTCAAGGTCATGAGTTCGGTTCCCGGTACCGGAGAAAAACCAAAAAAAAAAAAAAAGAAATAGAAGTTCAAAAAAAGAAAAAAAAAAATAGAAGTTCAGCTTCTGTGACTCCTCAATTTGCCCTGAGTCCCTGAGTCCCTGACCAATTTAAATCCCCCGTCTGGGCATTCGACTGCCCTTCCCTCATATTTAGCTCATCCCTTAGGAGTTGCGCAGAGCTCTATCCATATCCTCTAGGGCAATGATGGTGAACCTTTCAGAGCTTTCAGTGATATCAAACAGCTGGTGATGACACGTGTGTCATAAGTTTGCTACCACTGCTCTACAGGATTTGTGGCACCCCTAAGTCAGTGAATTCCTGTAGGGAGCCTGTTTGGGGAGCAATGATTGGTCACTGGGGTTCCAATCAAACTTTCCTCAGGTCATTCTAGGGGCTGAGCACTTAAGAACGAAATGGTCACAGGGAAAATTGTTCCTTTGCTGAAATGGCAAATCAGAGGAAAAGAAGGGTCTGATACCATGGAACCTACCTTTTCTTGTTTGTTTAGTTTTCTGAGAAAAGGACTCACTATATAATTCAGGATGGCTTTGAATTCACCATTTAGCCCAAATTGGTCTTGATCTTGTGGCAATCCTCCTGCTTCAGCCTCCCAAGTGCTGGGATTATAGGCATGAGTACCATACCCAGTGGAACCTATCTTTCCAAACCTATTTTTAGAGCCTCTTCCCATCAGTCAAATCCCACAAATCCTTACCTCTCCAAAACGGCACCTTGATTTTCCACTTGGAAACTTATGGGTTTTTTTTTTTTTTGCAGGGCTGGGGTTGGGATGATGGAACCCAGGGCCTCAGACATGGTTGGCAAACGTTTTACCACTGAGTTACACCCCCAACACCCCACCTTGAAATTTAAAATCCTACTATTCAGGATACTAGGAACCCACCCTCCCCTCCTTTCCACCTGAAGCAATTCCACTCAGACCCTTTAGGGCCTGGATCCTGTCTATCTCCTTCACGGAGTCCACCATGAGAACTTTCCTATACCAGATGTGATCGAAATATATGGTGAATGTTTACATCTAAAAAAGTATTGTGAAAGTCAAAGACATACTGCCATTAGCCCCCTGAAAATATTTTCCCTTGCTTCAAACACACATCCCTTTGTTCTTGCAACTTTCAGAAGCAGTTCTGGGAGTCCTCTTTTGTGTCTTTACAAGATGTGATTGGCTGGGGATTTAGCTCAGCGGCAAAGCGCCTGCCTGGCAAGCGCAAGGTCATGAGTTCGGTTCCCGGTACCGGAGAAAAACCAAAAAAAAAAA